AAGGTCAATTTTTAAAGCCCTCCTACAGAACATGATCTATGCAAAATATATCCACAATATATTCCAAAGCATAATGTCACCGGATAAACCTAAGGAGCTGAACATATGGGGGAATGAAAAAGAAGGTATTACAGTCTGAAAACAAGCAGGTTGGTGAGCTCATTAGCTGGGGTGGAATTTTAAAATCTTCACGTGAACGAATATATAAATCAAAATATACACATGCGTTCTGGGTCATGCGCACTGTGTATTCACACATGGCACGCTAGTTACATTATAATTTTCCACACAGGAACAGAGAGACCCTTTCTCTTTATAAATGTCAAAGCGCCCTCTGCTGACCGTCCTGAGGTACTTGCATTTCTAGTCCAAACAAGGCTCTCGGATGGATCCCTTATCCCTTAGAGAAGCAGCAGAGCTTATGGTTCGGTGCCACATAGGATTGTTTCTCCCAAACTCAACAGCATTTTCTTAGCTTGAAATCTCATTTACTATACTTTTATTTTACCATAGTACTTTGCTTTCTAAAATATGATAATAAAACACTCGGTGCAAAAAGTCACTACTCAAGCAGGGCAGTGGTGGCACACGCCTTTAATCCCAGCACTCGGGAGGTAGAGGCAGGTGGATCTCTGTGAGTTTGAGGCCAGCCTGGTGTACAAGAGCTAGCTCCACGACAGGCTCAAAAAGCCACAGAGAAACCCTGTCTCAAAAAACCAAACAAGTAACTACTCACTTGTTTTGATAAAGCAGTAACAGATATTTAGAAATGACTCCTTAATTTTTCTCTAAGTGTACAGAATTAAAATAATCCATGGAATTGTTTAAGATACTTTGGACTCTTCCATGTAAGTATGATCTAGGGAATATCAAAATTCTGTCATATTTTCTTGCTCTAAAATGGCCAGAAATCAGAAAGGTCCTAGTCAGCAGTCAGAAGTGCCATATCTACCGTTACAACCACAAGGGCAGTTCCAACATGCAATGCAGTTGCTGTCAGAAGCTGCTGTGTTAATTTAGGAAAAATGAAGCTAAAAACAAACAACCAAACAAAAAAACCTTTGGCTTAATTAATTAACTGCATTTCAAGGAGGGGGAGACCCTCTCTTTTAAACATGTTTCTTTATTTGTGAGAACTCCATACATGTATACAATACACTATGATTTCTCCCAATTTCTTTCACCTGCTTCCGCTAAAGTCCCCTTCCCCTCAATGTGCCCTCCCCATATTTTGTGCACGTATTTTGTGCACGTGCGTGCATGTGTGTGTGACTCCATCCAGTGCTATCCATTTTAAGCTGGAAATAAACTATTCTGAGCAGGGAATAAGTAAAGAACTAAAAATGCCAACCCCCAAACGTGTTGAGAGGGTGAAACTACCTTCTAGAACTTTTCACCGGAGAATTCTACTCTTTCACCCTTAGGAGGAAGGATGAATGTCATTAAAATTGGTCTAGTGTGAGAGGCTGTGTTGATTGATGAGGTGTAAAAGCAACTCCTGGAGAATCTTCATGTAAAAGCTTCTCAGTTGATAGACTTAAACACAACAAACAATCAACAACTAAAAAAAAGAAAGAAAGGAAGGAAAGGAAAGAAAAGAGAAAAGAAAACTGGTTCAGAAAGATAATAAGGAATATTCTGGTCTAAAATAACTAACTTCTCTTATCTTTTACATCTGCACATAAAAAACTATGTTTACAAAAAATATGTAGATTAAGAAATGTGGTTTTTTTATGTTACTTTCGCAACTACTGGAAATATTAACCCATCATGTTAGAACACAAAATAAAAATGCAATGCCTCTGTCAATAAGCTGTGCATACTGTTATGAAAGTATGTATCAGAAACCAAGGTATGCTTTCACAAATATTTTAATTTTTAATTCTAAGAATGACTAGACAGGCAAAATCCTCTATTAAATTTAGCAGTAAATGCTGGGATCAAAATAACTCCATGGGCGGGATACATTTGCCCAGCACGAGAGAAACACAAAATGAAAAACCAAAGAAATAAATGTGACGTCTCTGGGCTAATGGAACTTCCCAAGTTGTTGTTGTTGGTAGTCCTTGGTTCATAAGAGCAAGAAAATGGACACAAACTAGAAATAACGCGAGCCATATGTCAGCTGCTGTGTCTGAGGCACAGGCATCGTACATGTCCCCCTTGTGTTTGCCTTGGAAGGGCCCAGAAGGACAGGCCCTATCTATTCACAGATTCAGGCACCAGAAGACCCTGGATGGGGATCCAGACGCCCATCCCGCTCACTATACCACCACACGCTCTCTCACGAACATAAACTTGAATATTTTGCTATTACCTTCCACTGCACTTACTGTAAGCTTAGCCGAAGGTGAATTGTGAGACTGACAGCACAGAGTGGGAAGCTCTCCGGGGGCTGTGATCTGTTCTGCTGTGCCCCTCACTGCATGCAGAAGATTGAATAGGAGGTCTGGCACATATAGGAAGCTTGTGAGTTTGTCCTAAGTAAAAGAGGTGAAGGAAGGAAAGAGACGCAGAGAGGCTCACAGGAAAGGATGAGCAGGAAGGTAAGGCTATCAAAAAGTAAAAGAAAAAACAAGCCAAGAAGAAAACAACCTAGCCTTTCCATTCACTAAGTGCATTATTATGATCTATATTTTCTCACAGGGTCCATGATAAACTTAAGAACATTAATCCTTAAATTAAAGAATTAACACAGAAATGTAAAGTTCTAATCTTTATTTTGCCTACGTCGGAACTCAGTCTAGACGACTGCATGCTGATAGGACACTCCTGGATACTATTCGAGATGCAGGCTAACCTCCCAGTCTCAGCTCAGATGTCAGCTTTTATCAGCGTGGACTTAGAAGGCAGCTAGTGACACCCAGCAATGTCAGGTGACACCCAGCGATGCCAGGTGGCACACAAAGACTGTTTGGTAACTCATGGAATCCCCACATCTAGATTTGGCTTATCTGTAGAATTGGGGTTTCTGAAGGGAGGCACAGCCACGCCCTTAACGGAGAAGGCAAGCCTGTAGTATTTAGGTCTAAATGGTTCATTAGTCTATGCCTTAAAGGCTCGCGGCTGCACGTGTGGCTGGAACCCCATGCAGCAGGTGCCGTGAGCAGGTGACAAAAGCGGAATCTCAAGGCTAACTCTATAATTCGACAAGGCCCCTCAACCCGTGGTTCATTTGACCGGGAAAACCTCAGAGGTTTTGCATTTCAAAAAAGCAAGACACATTATTATGACACAGAAAGGTGAGTACGCAAGTTCTTTTGCATACATGAAAATTAAAAAAGAAAACCAGACACCCTGAAAAAAGGAATTTCTAGGGACAGGAAAGGGAGAAGAATGCAGTGTGCATACACAGAAATTGCACAATGAATTTCATTGATTTACACAATTAATATATATTAGTCATTACAAGTTTAAAAACTAAATACTAAAATGGGGTAAAAAAAAGCACACAAGTCATAAAAAATATTGATGAGATTGATATCACATATATTTAAATAATTCACATGACCTGGGAGAAAAATACAAATACATCAAAATAGAGAGTGATATGTACTCAAAAGGGAGGGATTTGCAAAAATAAGAAAGTGCAAATCAGAAAAATTCAAATCCATATCCAAACATCAAAATATCAATTTTTACTGCAAAGAACTGGCAGGGGCTGTAAATGATGCCACCGCCTCCTAGAGAAAGGGTTTAGGGAACGGACACCCGTCTAGGTGGGAAGAACACGTAAATCAGCGTCGATTCCTGCAGGGAGAGTGGACACTAAGTACCAAATGTGTTAAAGTTGCATAAATCGCTGGACCCAGAAACTCCAATTATATACGTTTTTAATGATTCGAGCGTGACATAAGTGCCGAGGGCTCTAAAGGCATTGCTCATGATGCAGTAATTTGGAAAGACGGTCGGTGTCTACACTCGTTTAATGGTGTTCAAATGGTGTTACTATTCTTCAGTCAGTAAAAAGCCAGAGAAGCGCCTGAAATGAGCGCAGCAGAGGCTACAGTTCCGCGCTCAGGTATGCAGAAAGACCGGCAGGAGGCATCCCAAACGGTCCCCGTACTGTATATGGTGGGAGCAGGCAGGGGCGGCCGCACCGCATGTTCCTGTGCATCCCAAGCTTTCGGCAGCGCGGCTTCATCACCTCTTTAAATAGAGACAGTGCGCTAGGAGAGCCAGCGCGGGCTAGTTTAGACCAGGGTGTAAAGGCAAACTGGAACATTTTTAGGAATTTTGTTAGACACAGCTGTTTTTTAAAGTGAAATTGTGAAGATACACAATTTCGCGAGTTTCAAAGGGTAGGAAGTACTTAAAAAGCATGACTTATTGTTTATCTGTCTGGATTTCACTGCACTCTTTTCTTATAAAGTCAAAGTAAAGCTATCTTATTTCCTCCCTCCTCTTGCTCCAACTGGCCCCTCTCCCTCTGAAATTCATAGCCCATTATTCTTTAACTGCTTTTGTTACACACACACACACACACACACACACACACACACACACACAAATATATGAGTACAGTCTTAGAGTCTGTTTAATGTTGCTTGTATCTATGTTTTTAAGGTTGACCACTTGGTATTGGATAACCAGTTGGGGGATCATCCATGAGTAATGAGTTTTAATTCTCTCTCCTTAACTGCCTGTAGACCTTCATCATTGGTGTATTGGAGAATAATTTGGAAACCACGAAAGATAAGCACACACCAAAGTCAGTTAACATCTTACAATGTGACCACACACTTCTTAGAAAGTGAAATTAGAAGAAAATATGTTCCTATTCATGATAGTAATATTATATCCATTTTAAAAATATTTAAACCCAAGAGTAACAGTTTTAATTTAACCTTCTCTAAAATAGTATTTTAATAAAAACGCTCATTAATAGCAGTGTCCAGATATCTCCTGTGTCATAGTTCCTGGTGCTGTAAATGCACCTGATTCTGATTCTTCTGGAGGGAATAGTTCGTACACATGGGGCTTCTGAACGTGCCAAGTACCTGCTGCCATAGAAGAGTCTGCAAAGGAGACCTCCGGGGAAGAATTCTCTGTGTCCCAGGGCTCTTTCTCCAGACTTGACTCATCCAGAGCCTTCAGAATGGGCTCATTAACTTCAGGCCCATTTTCAGGAGACAAATTCTCCATCTCTGTGAAGAGTAAGCATTAGACGTAAATGGTAGGGCGTACACGGTGTGTACAGACGACACTGGTGTCCTGGAAAGCAAACCGGGGTCTGCTTCGCATACACTGCACATACTTTCAAACATTGACATTTCAAAAGACCTAGCCCGTGCTACTTCGGGGTAACACAAGGCAACATATTTTTCCTTTCATCATGACCACAGTTGAGCATTTGTGTAACAATCAAATTTTATATAAAAGGCAGGCTAATGAAATACCAATCCAATCACACGGCAAGTGAGACGACTTCCCGTCTGACCACTGTCTCTGGGAAGTCACTCACTGACTTGATGGCTGAAAGCTATATTTAAGGCTGAATTAATAAGAATGCAAACCGGCGGGTGGCTTTCTTTAGCTTTTACTTGCCATTTTGTTTCTGCCTCCAGGATCATGCGATGTACATCTGCTTTAATGTCAGGCTGAATCCATGTGTTCTGGGCTCCTGGGGGAATTTTTTTTTATTGAATGAAATATTCTATTTTCTCCACTCTTCCATTTTGCCTTTCATGCTCTTTGGCCTCCAGGACACAGGGACACCCAGGCTGCAGCCATGTGTACAGGCAGCTGCATGAGGGAGCTTAGGAATGCACTCCAACACAAACTCATAAACCTACTTATTACATGATGAGATTTTGGGGGTTTTTTTGCGATCTATTTTTTTTTCCATTGTAGCTCCACTTCAGGGTCCTCAGCACGTGTTTTACAGACAACAGTTATGTTGCAATGCTCAAAGGCTGGACACACGGAGGAGGGAAACTAAGAAAATCAAGAGTTTCTATTCCTTGTGAAACTTGAGTCTGTCAGAAGAGTCTGAAGTCCTAAATACACTTCGTAAAGTGTCTTTTCATATTGGCCCACTGAAGACAGCATGGGGGAAACTCTCCAGCCTTGCGTGGAGAATTTCCTAAAGAAAATTAGTGTGGCTTTCGATGAAGCTAAATTTGACAATGTTTATAGTTAGCAACTAGGACATGGCTGTCCTGCCCCTTTAACTCACTGGTCACTCTAAGATCTCAGATTCCACGGCCAGAAGAAAGCAGGCTACTCCACCAGCACCTAATTTAGGGTCCTTCCCCGTACAACATCTGGCTGCTAGTTCTTCTTGCACACAGACTAACCACAGGGTGCAGAACTTCCTACCAGCCTTGAAAGTTTATAGAAGCCAGGGGATTTCCTGAAGTTGCTCCTCCCTGAGCCTCTCCCTGGCTCATTATCCTCTTCTGGGAGGTTCTTCCTTTATTCTTACTTCAAGCTACTCGTCTTAATGAAGCCCCTCTCTGGTTCAAAGAGAAGTCCCCTCTTCTGTTTAAAGCCTGGTGTGCTGTTTCCCATACACTGTCTTCTCATGGTCTCCTACCTCAAGGCCCACTCATGATCTTGAGACCTTTTCTATGAACAAACCTCATTCCTGAACAGCAATTACGTGTCAGTTCCATTGAGTAGCCAACAACCGTGGGGACCTATTTCTTGGTCTTTATTTAACAGGTACTAAGGTTTGAAATTATGACAGGTAGGGGATAGAGAGACGGCTCAGTGGTTTAGAACACTTGTTGTTCTTCCAGAGGACACAAGTTTGATTTTCAGCACGCACATGATGGCTCACAATTGTCTGTAACTTCAGAACTCTGCAGCTTTGTTCTGGCCTCCAGGCATGCAAGTGGTGCACAGACTTATACTAATACATATAAAATTAAATGAACAATAAAAGATTAAAATAGTCCACCTACTTTACGCTTACCACAAAGCTATTTACATATATTGAATGTTTTATTTCTCAAAATAACCTAGCTGGTGACTTTTTTTTTTGGGGGGGGGGGTTTGGAGACAGGGTTTCTCTGTAGCTTTGGATCCTGTCCTGGAACTAGCTCTTGTAGACCAGGCTGGTCTCAAACTCATTGAGATCCCGAGTGCTGGGATCAAAGGCGTGCACCACCACCGCCTGGCGGTGAGTGACATTTTTATTCCATTTCACAGACAAGGTGAAATCCAAGGAGGTCTGGTAGCTGACCAAAGGTCCAGGCAAAGAGCCAGGAGCATATAAGCATATGAGTTCCAAACCTGGGGTCCTCTACCATGGAAGCATACCATAGCCTGGGTGGTTGAGAGAGAGGAAATTGATCTTCACATAGTTAAATCAACTGTGACGATGCCAGCGCAGCTGACGCCCATCGAGCCATCTTCTAAGCATACTCTACTTTCCCCCTGTGCTCGCGATAAGAAGGAAGACAGCTGTTTTACTTTCTCATCTAAAAACCCCACAACATAGCAGATTAGGGCCCACCCTTGGGACCTCATTTAAAGGGCCTGAAGACAGGCTCTTCAGATACACTCATGATGGGGGTTAGGGCCCTGATATATGAAGTAGTAGGGGTATACAATTGCCTCCGTAACATTTTATACTACTTCCTTCATTCATAGCATATATCATTGCATGCAAAATACATCCATTTTATCTCCAAGCCCTTGATATCTTAACTTACTCCAGCCTCATGTGACGTCTAAAAACTTGCTGAGTCCCTTCTGTTTTGCTTGAGTGTGTATGATATCAGAGATGACTACTTTATATTAGGCAATAAATTAGGGGGTGCCATACTGGAGAGAGACAAATTCTCCCTCTCTTCACAGCCTTAGCTGCTCATATCTTTTGTCCGGGGCAGGACTCCATGAGGCCTCCCACAGCTACATCCACGGCTGTCACGCCAGTATAGCAGAAATGCTGACTGGGCAGGCAGGTGTTGCCGGAGGATTGGGATCTGTGCTTCTCGGAGCTGTGTGTTTCAGTCAGTCCCTTGGCAATCAGTTGTGGTGTAATGCCATCTGAGTCGCCATTTGTACTGACTCGACTTCGCTGTCTTTGGAGCCATAATGTGTGTCTTTTCCCTTGTCTGTGTGTTCTTTGTGATCCTTGCATATTGCTAACAGATCAGACTATTCCAGGCAGTTGCGGATACAAACAAGACTGCTGAGGACATTTTTGAATCCTGCTCCACTATCCATTAAAGCCTTAAAAGAAGTAGCCAGTTCTGGGAATTGGCAGAATCATCATTAGGATAATTCCTTAATGATGTGGAACAAAAGGAGTTAATTTTACTAGGAAAAACCTTAGAAACCTTCTACAGGAAAACAGTATCAGACATTTAAGTACAATTCAACAGGAGGCCTATGCAGCCTTCCTTGTGGCCAGAAAACCTAGACTGATAACAACACCTGAGCATCAGGAAGGGAGGAGAGTTGAGATCATGTCTTTAAAATTTCCTAGCAGAAAACTTTCCCAGGAAGATAGTAGCCTTCTTCTTTCTCACCCAGACACACAAGGTCACTTAGCTAAACCCAGCCAGCCACCTGGTATGAGCTGATAAAGATGGCCTAACTTAAGAACAGTGGCCTCTCTAATAACAAGAAAAAGGGCTGACTTAACAAAATATGAGGGAGCAAAAGTCCTTGTACCCATGTCAAAGCATCTTCAAAGATTCTCTTTGTAAAACTGCTTTGTGCTGATCTTTTCTATTTTATAATCTGATGATGTATGCCTTGACCAAGTTCTTTGTTTGTAAAGGTATAAAAGCCTCACACTGAAAGAATAAAGTTGCAACAGCATGTCTCAAATACATTGAGAGTGGTCTGTTTGTCATTTTCCTCGCCGTATCCTGATTTCTCCTGTGCCTTCGCCCTGATTCCCCATGGTCTGAGTGGCTCCTCTGAGCCGGTCCGTGGCATCCCACTTCCACATTAATATGTCTGTTTTGCTTAGGTATCATGGGTGTAGCTTCCCTGTCATTTCTAGGAGACACAATCTCACATCAGACTTCCTGGTCCACTAGCTCCTACAATCTTCACGCTCCCTCTTCAACAATGTTCCCTGAGCCTTAGGCGCAAGAGTCCTGTTTCAGACGCATGTGCTGGGGCTGGGCTCCCACAGTCACTGATGTCTGACGACCAGTTGCTGCTTGCAATGGTCTCTGATGCAAAGAGAAGATTTTCGGTGTGGGAAGAGAACTATACTTAGCCAAGGAAGATGAACAAAATGGGTTTGTTGGTTGGGGTTCTTGAGCTAGGTTTGAGATAGCAGCCGGCGGCCAGATCTGCTTTTTGAACCTAGTTGGATTCACCTTTCAAATTCTTAAAATATTCCAAAGAAAACAAACAGCTTCAAGCCCTCAGAGCCTCATCTATGCTCACCTCAAACATGTGACACTGTGTAGTATTTATTTGAGGAGGGAAGGATAGAAGATGACCTTGCGCAGCCATCTGAATGAAGTTGTCCTCTTCGTACTGGTTTTCACGGAGCTCATTCCCGTCATTGCATAATTCTTTCATGCTTTCTAAGAATTCGTGGGAAAAATGATCTGATTTGCACTAGCTGAGCTTTCCTACTCTACCTAGCTTTCTGCTTCTGTCTTCTTAGATGTAATTATAGGTGATGGAGATGACATAGATTAACCAGTATAGACAGATACAGATAGATACAGATATGGATTAAACCCACACTTGTAATATTGGTAGACACATTAGAGTTTTGTGGGTGGGAAACTACGGAATTACTTTCTGACTTTGAAAGGTATATTAGTCTCTTCTGATGAATAGGCTGAAATATATTTGCCTGTTTCAGAACTTCAAACACCTGGGCGAAAGTACAAGCTTTTCATAAACCACGTAGCAAAGCACAGCAAATGTTTCTCTTACAGTCTAGCAGGCTAACTGACTCCGCCACAGTTCTTCAATACCACCTTTCTACCTTGCAGAGCCCAGGCCAAAAAAAATCGTGTACTGGTTGAGTCATTTTACTAGAATGGACAGAGGAAAGGGACTGTCCACTGCCCAGGTCTCCTGCAACCCCGCATTCTCATCACCTAGAATGGTACCTGGTGCAGGTTCACTGAAAGACTGAATAACAGACAGAAGGAAAAAAATGAAGTAAACATGTAATAATTATAGTAGTGATAATTAATTTTTTAAATAACGGACTTGTACTTTTTCTGCATATGGTATTTTGAAACAGGATACATACTATGAAAGGAAAAAAAATCAATGAGGAGTTTAAATTAGGTTTATAAATGAATTATGTAAAATTGTACTATTTTAGAATATTATTATTGAATACTTAAAAGATTTCTATTAGGTAAAAATTAAATTTATTGGAAAGGATAAGCCTTTTATAATATTCATAAATGAAAAATATATTTTATTTCAAAACTGTGTCTTTCTAATGTTAAAAGTATTTCCAGGCAGTGGTGGCACACGCCTTTAATCCCAGCACTTGGAAGGCTGAGGCCGGCGGATCTCTATGGGTTCAAGGCCAGCCTGATCTACAAGAGCTAGCGCCAGGACAGCTAGGACTGTTACCCAGAGAAACCCTGTTTCAAAAGCCAAACCAAACCAAAACAATCTTGATAAAAATTTGAAGTGATTTTCTCATTTCAGAAACAGGTGTGAATGATGGGCTATTGCTGCTGGCCTGGCAGTCACCCCAGTGTGCTAGCGAGAGGGTCTCACAACCGAATCTTTCCTACACAAGGGCTTTCTCTTGAGAAACCAGAGATCAGTTCTTCCCATGTCGGCGCTGGAAGCCCTGATGTTTGACAGTACAGTTTGAGGCTTTATTGAGTTCTCAATCACACAGCACACAAGCTCCTCCTGGTAGAATTAGGAGTACCTGCCATGTCTTCCGGGCAGCCGGCACCTGTTAGCTCTTGGCAAAGCGCCTCATTCCCAGTTTGGCGAAGAACGTTCAGGAAAGTAGAAAACCAGTCTTCCTTCTGCACGATCGTTCTCAGCAATTCCCTCACGCCCGACTCGTTCCCAGCGTTCCCCGCAGCAGAAATCTAGTATTCCAACAGACAAGAAGGAAGAGGAAAGACCTTGTGAGCCAATGAAAAGTGAAAATATCCTAAAGGAAAATCAAGGGGTTAGGCATACATAGAAGCAAAGGCTTATATTCAATCAGTAAAAAAACAGCAGTGTTCCGTGCAGCTATTCCAGAGTCTGTCAGGAAAAAAAAAGATCATTGAGCCAAATCCTCTTCTAAATATGCAATTTTTTTTTTAGAGAATTTTTTTTGAGGCTGATGGGGTTGCTCGGTCGCTAGAAGCACTTGTCAGGCTGATAGGGATGCTTGGTGGCTAAGGGCACTTGCTGCTAAGTTTCATGTGCTGTTTCACTCCCAGCCCCCACATGGTAACAGGGGAAAAACAGTTCTCACAAACTGTCCTCTGACCTCTACACACACATCATGGTACATTTCCTCTGTGGTTCCCACCACAAACTAAGCTTCAAAACAAAACTTTTAATAAAAAGGAAATACTAATTAATTGAGAGATTGATAAATGCTTTGCTTGAACTTCTGTGACCAAAGCCAAGAGAAAGTATCTCCAATCTGTATTCGTGCTAAGGACTCCTGTGTGTCTATGTATACACTTGTGTGTATCTGTGTGTGTCTGTGTGTCTATGTGTACGTCTCTGTGTGTGTCTATGTGTTTGTCTGTGTGTATCTATGTGTCTGACTGTATGTGTATGGATGTCTGTGTGTGTATGTCTAGATGAATGTCTGTATGTCTAGACGTGTATGTGTGTATGTGTGGTGTAGATATGGGTGGACACTTGTGTGCTTCTCTGTGCATGCATGTGTGACGGTCAGAAGCTAAACTTTGCTGTCTTTCTTCTTAGCTTCTTTTCTCTATTTGAGGAGCTACCTGAACTAGGAACTTGCTACTTGGCTAGACTAGTTGGTCAGTGAGTCACCAGGTCTCCCTGTCTCTGTCCAGCAGAACTTTAAGACATTTCTTTTCTCTGTATTTTGGGTTTGCTATTTTCTTTCAACCCATGAAGTTTATAAAAGGGAAATCAAACATTTCATGGCCTCTTCCTTAACTGTTACCACTTTGGAACTAAGTAATTAGTGACACAGATTTATCTTCCTGCCTATTGAATATTTACAATAGTTATCATTGCAATGAAAACATTTTCCAAATTTTTGCACATGCAATATTGTAAGAAATTAGTTTCCCTATTCCTTTGGAGGCATTTTCAGCCCATCTTCCCCACAGCATTTTCTAAGCAGCTTCTTGCTCAATCCTAGTGTTTACTAACTTTGGTAGTAGTCTTATGATGTAAAATCTTTGTCTGTTCTGAACTTTGTGAGATTTTTTTTCATTGTTTTCTGGTAATCAGAAGTGTAATCGCTACAAATACAAACAGGACTGATCTCAGATTCTTATTTTAACTCAACATCCCCATCTTCCTACCACGCCTCCCATTCTTTAAACCGCTTTAACTTATGTCCGACAGAAGCAATCAGAATTTTCTCAGGACAGTGACTAAAGCATTGCAATCAACGTTCTTTTTTAAATTCTATGTGTATTCTAGTAACCAAATTTCCTTCAACTGTTTCTCTGTCAAGTTAAAGTTTTCTGCAGAATCTGAGATTTCCTACATTCTTTGCCCGGGCATTTGAGGATCACGATGCTATACTTTTTCCCAAGGATTTTTAATTTTTGAATATGAAACTACTATTATCTTTTTTTTTTCTTTCACCAATGTTCTCAGTTTTTAGTATCCTCCCTTTTAGGTGTTGGAAAGTACATCAGTTGAAGTGATCGTATGTGTCCATGTATGTGTTTTGCTTACTCTGCTCTCTTAAAATATGGCAGTGATATTTAAGTCCCAACAGATAAGAACAAGGACTTTAATTCCCAGGAGGTTCATATCAATTTCCAACTGTGGCAAGACACAAAAGGATCCCCTCCCCCAACTGGAATTTTTCCTTGTGAAGTTAAAAAAGGTTCATATGTGGATACCATATAAACTAATTCACGGAATAAAAATGGATGAATTTGTGAACAGTACAGTTTGCTTCTTGACTATTCTAAACTTTTCAGCAGAAGTAAGTGGAGAAAGCACAGAAATTTTCATAAAGTACTGAATTTCCAAGACAATTATTTTGTTTAGTACAAAAGTTTTCTCGTTCACTTGTACTTTTTACTTTTTGGCCCCAAAGTATCCTGTCCTTGCTAATTTACCTAATAGCACAATAACTGTGAGAAAAACTTAGTTGGGCGTTTAACTCATATTGAAAAAGCTAGGCTCAGTGTCTGTCTGGGATAACACGGGGTCTTAGTTTTTCATGTAGGTGAAGGGTATATGACCTCCAAGACTACAGGTGTTTAGTGAAGTCAGCCAGCGCTAAAACATGCACCTGCCTCTCCCCATAACTGTCTATTATAATTCTGTAATATGAAATGTGATCACTTTTGTCTCAGAGCCCTTTTGTGATCTGTGTTGATGGAGCCCCACAAGCTGCCACTCTATATCTTGAGGAAAATGAAAAAAAGGGATCATTCTATTTTGATTATCTATAAAATGGTTCTTGCATTATTAGTGAGCCTAGCTTTAATGCGGGAGTCTTAAACTCGGATGGCTGGTTTACGCTAGCTCTGGTTAACACTACAACATAAACACCATGTAAGCAGCGTCTGTGGCTTTTCTCTTGTCTTCCCACATTAGCACGGTACATGGCAAAGATGTCACTCTGAAAGAATGATGAAGTCAGCAAGTCAGATATGTTTTGGGGGTGCTTATTCTCAAATCATCTGGAGGCCAGCTAGTGCTGGCAGATGTCTGTAAGAAGCCAAAATTAAAATAGATCAAATAGAAAATGCCTACAAGACTGCTTCTCAGCCTTTGCCAAAGATTAACTCAGAAAGTCTATGAGAAATAAAAAATAATACATAATAATAATACTAATAATAGATCATTTTAGAAGCCCTGATATGTAACATGAGGGCCGGCTTGTTGGGGTTTCCGTCCCGCCCGATACCCCAACAGCCAGCAAATCCCAAAGAGAAATTACACACAGGACTCCATAAGGTTATAAACTGATTGGCCCATTAGGTCAGGCTACTTATTAGTTCTTATAACTTATCTTAACCCATTATTCTGATCTATGTTAGCCACATGGGCTCAGTACCTTTCTCAGTGTGACAGCTCACATGTTGCCTCTTCGGTGTTCTGCGCAGCAGTGGTGAGAGGACTTTCCTCCTCTGTAGCCTTATTCTAGTCTCATTGCCCCGCCTCTACTTCCTGTCTGGTTGACCCACCTATACTTCCTGCCTGGCCAATCAGCATTTTATTAAAATATGATTGACAGAATACAGACAATTCTCCCGCACCACCCTGATTAATTAATTAAGGAAAGCTTAAATTGGGATGTCTTTTTGAAATTACCAAAATTCAGTTTGGAAATGTAATGCCCACTAACCATCTATTTCCCAACATCTTATCATATTTAAAGTCTTTAAAAAAATTTAAAACTCAATTTTTTTTATTTCTTATTTTTCTTTCTACCTTTGTTGTTTGGTTTTTTTGCATATAAGCTCAAATGCCAATCAAATTATGAAAACACTAGCACTGGCTAGTGTCTAGGTATTTACAAGGTGAAAGTTTCTCTTTCAAATCCATTTAATTCACAGACCTTAAGAAGTGGGTCTTTATGTGGGAAATTTGCCTAAATCTCTGAAATTTTACCCCTAAATTAAAGAGTGAAATGTGCGGTGATTGAAGTCAATATAATTTTTATATCAAAATAATGGATCATTTGTGAAGCTTTTCCTTTAATATTTCTCAGTTGGTATTGATGTGAGGTTAGAAATTACTGTGCCATTCATTTCCTCGGGTAAACCTAGGACCAGGGAACCAAATCTTACATACAGCAAAGCAAAGACAGACCTCCATGCTGTACCTTCCCATTTTAAATTCTTGTGACTGTTCATACCACCTTGTCATTGTAAGGCGGACATTTGATAACCCTGGGATCAGAAGAGATTCCTCCAAACGTAACACTCCCTTCCCATTGGACTTCAGTTTACTCTTTCTGCTGACAAGGCAAAATAAGGCACGAGGAGTGATTACAGACGCCAGTGGGGCCACCCCTGCTCCTCCACCTCAACCGATAGCTCTTTCTTCTCTCTGGGATTCCTTGGAAATGTGAAACTGGGAGAAAGTTTGGGTTGCTTTCGCTTAACTGCTGCTGCCAGGGCACCAAAGTCCTTTTACGACCCGTCTTCTCCGTGTCAAATCCCTTGCATCACTGCTAGCTGCCTCCGCACTTGCCAGAATCAAGAACTTGGATAAAACGTGGCTGGCAGCAGTTCAGCCCAGGCAAGACAAAAGTGACGCTGATAGGCAGAAGTATTTAGAGTAAACAAGGAGAAGTGCTGCTTCTCTGGCACTCGGGACATCGTACCACCAAACACAAACAGCTTTGTGGTGTGACTGGACGCTGTTGCTTCTGGACTTCCTAACAGCTACTGTGGCTGGAAATGCCATCTCCCATCTCCAGCTGGCTTGGAGGCTGCATACTTTCTTCCAAATTAAGATTCTGCCGCCGTGATGTACACATTTGTCATATCCAGCTGGACCACTATAATGCATTCCTGTCAGTTCCCAATACACAAAGTGATGTAAATGCGACCAACGACAGCTAAAGAAATTGACATGATAGAGAGACCGGACACCTAAATGGGATGTGTATTGGCTCGAGGGAGGTGTCGGTGCTGCTGATTCTACAAAATACTGTTGATATTAGTAACCAAAGGCCAAGTCTCCCCATAGGCGAGATGCCCATAGTCTACAATGGAGATACAACCAATGAGTCAAAATGAAAGGAAGAAAATGTCAAAACCATAGCACAGTGTACATAAAGCCTTTGGTTTACAGTAATGGGCCATTTGTTCACCTGTTTTCAAAATAATGACTTTAAATTACACTTTATTTTGTTTTTAATTATGTGTCTGTGGGAGCGGTGGTGGAGTTCATGCATATGGGTGTAATTCAGGTAGAAACCATGGGCACCAGGGATTCCCTGGGTCTCCAGAAGTTAGAGACAGCTATATGACATCTGACATGGCCACTGGGAACTAAATTCCTATCCTCTGCAAGAATAGCACTCACTATTAACCACTGAGCCGTGTCTCCAGCCCCCAAACAAGGCTTTCAACTTGCAACACTGGGTAAGGCGGATGCAGAGAGTTCAGCATTTATGAAGCACGTGGCACATCTTCACTCTTGGACAAACTACTAACACTATATTAAGTCACCTGTTGATACTCCAAAATGATACTCCAAAAAGGTCATCTACCGCTGCACTGGTGTGAAACACTAAGGCTAGTAGGTAGCATGTGTTTGTCAGCTGACTATCTCTGAACTTGACTGAATTCTGGAAAATATGGAAACTTCGATTAAAGAAAAGAGAGAAATGAGATGTCATGATTTTTCATTTGGACCAAGACTTAATGAGATGTGCATACTATTTAAGACATGGATGAGGAACATTGGGGACCTGATAATATTTTAGTTTTATAGGCCATATTACCTCTACCCAACTGTTAAAAAAAAAACCATAAGTCATAAAAGAGTATATAAAGCAATGAGAACAAGAGTTTCAATAAACCTTATGAACACTTAAAATTGAAAAACCAGACAGCTAATTACCTTAGTTTTTTTCCCCTCTTACTTTTGGTTCTTCGAGACAGGGTTTCTCTGTAGCTTTGGAGCCTGTCCTAGAACTAGCTCTTGTAGAACAGGCTGGCCCCGAACTCACAGAGATCCGCCTGTGTCTGCCTCCCGAGTGCTGGGACTAAAGGCATGCGCAACCACCGCCCAGCTTCCTTAGTTGGTTCTTAAAATACAAGTAGAAGGCTGGATGCAGCAAGGGGGTCACAGTTTGCTGAAGGCTACTTTAAGAAGTATGTGGGTTAATTCATCAAATTCAATGTCACCTGTACTTGATGAGTCATAATGATGTTCTTCCTGGGAGACAAGAGTGAATTGTTTTTAACTTACTTGGTCTTTCTTATCTGTGAAATGGGCCGGCCCTCCGTGGGTTATTTTGAACATGAACCATAAAGAAGGGGCGGGTCTGCCCAAAGAAGTCAAAGGTCACTCTCTATGGGGAAACACACAAGCAACCCTGTTTTGCAAAATCTTCCATGAACCCATCTCCATCTAAAGCGACACCTACCCGATTTCGGTCCTCAACTGTCAACAGTCCCATCTCCACGCAAGTATCCAAGACATCGTTAATCAGGAGCTTGTCTACCAGGGTAGGCTGAAGGAGGGTCATCAGGTGGAGACATTCGTCATGGGCGGTCTCATAGGAGGGAGAGGGGAGATCGTTAAGTCTGACGTAGCGGGCGGCTAGGGAGCTGCCACTTTGCTCCAGGGCCACCACGAACGTCTGCGTCCAGCCCGGCGACCACTCCCCCTTCTCCAAGGTGCTCAGCAGCAGTTCCGCGGCGCTGGTGTTCCCACAGGTGGCGGCCTGCTTCAGAATCTGCTCTTTGGTTTCTGGTTTCAGAAAGGTCAGGTAGTCCAGCACCGGCTCCACCTGAAAGGACCTTTTCAACCTGGTCCTGAAGACTGAGATGAGATTGCGGAAGCTGTCCTCTGCAGAACAGAAGTTCGACATCCTTGGTTCTCAGGGAAAGGGAGAGGAGTCTCCCCGGCCGGCGGGCGGGAGGGCAGGAGGGCAGACGATCCACAGGTGGGTCCCCGTCGATGCTGTCTGGTAGCTGCAGATACTGGTGGCTTTAGGTGGATCGGTCGGTGGTTCCTGGCAGGTGGCAGGTGGGGCAGGAATGCGCTGCAGCAGGTGGGTGTAGACTCCGGACCACTCTCGCCCTGCGACTGATGCGCTCTGGTCGCCCTGCCAGGGAGCTTTAAGCCCTGTGTTCCACCCACAAGTCACAGAAGTTGCAGGATCGGTTTCTGTTTCGATTCTCTTCTCCGGACCTTACGAACACCAAAATCAACTTCCGGGCCAGAGAATTAGTTTCGTGAGGGAGGAGGAGGTCCGTAGACGCAGCCGGTTAAGCGAGAACTTTTGTCAAGATCACCGCGGGGAAAGTGGGAAACCGGAAGGGAAAGCGAATTCTCCCCTGTGTTGAGAAAGCAGGCGATGCTCTGCAATGTTTATTTGAGGATATTTTTTGTGGTCCCCATGGCGTGTTGTTTCCAAGGCCAGACTCACTTCTCTGTTACCATGTAGAGGAGAGGGCAAGGAAGGTCTCAGGGCAGGGGGTGAGGGGAATGAAGAATTGCCTAAACCCTGATGGAAAAAAAATTGAGTTACTCTCCTTTGTGGGGGTCGACGGGTGGGAGCGGAACCGGTGGAGGGAGGATCCAGAAGAATGGAACTCTAGGAGATGCTTCTACACCCTAGGAACGGTAAACTTCACACCCAGTGGGGTCCCAAGAACTAATCTGTTCCTCCCAGAACTGAAACGTAAGTATAAAACGTGAACTCTACTAAACAGCTTTATTTTCTCTTGCTCTGATTGGTAGTATAATATTTATACAGCTTTGACCTGGGCCTGCCTCGTGACAGATACAGGCTGACTTTAGCCACCAACTCAGTTTAGGAGGCAGCCAAGACCGACAGCTTCCTATCTTCCAGTATGGAAGTCCCCTGTATTCCTTAGTAAACAACTTTCTTATAATAAAACAAAAACAACAACAACCGAAACCCTCGACAACTTATTTTTGATATAGCTGCCATTCTTTTCTTGGATTCAATACAAGCTTCGGCTGAAGCGTCTAGGAACTTAATTAGCAACTAATGTACTGCCTCGTGGTAAACATCAACATTTGTCTATGTCATGAGAGAGAGGGAAAAAGACATTCACAGTGAAAAAGGAAAAATATACCCAGCAGCTTTGTCTTGATACAGAAGCTGCCCAAATGTGAGTCTGTGGGTTGCTGTCCACCAAGTGGGCCAAATATGGGAGGTACCATAACACTTTGAATAGAAGACACTGGTCCAGATTTATATGGAGAAAGGAAGTTATCAGAAAGACGTGTTTGGGAAAACTACTCTTAGGGAAGCGTATTCACTGAGATCTGGTGATGCTGGGGAGGCCTGAGGATTATTTAAAAATACTAGGGGAGCTGCAGAATTTTCATGAGCCTCAGGACACCCTTCATGATAACCATAGCAGTACTTTCTACTGTGCTCTTGTGTGATTCTCTAGTTAACAGAACATAGCTAAGACCGCCCTAAAGGATGGTACACTGCAGCCTGTAAAACATTTACTGGTACCACGTCCGTGATGGTTTTCTCCCTGAACAGGAGTTGTGAGTTGACTCCCGGGACAGGTCTCATGTCAGATACACAAGTAAAGTTGCCCAAATGATTAGGGGCGTGGTCTTGCAGGCTCTTTCCCTTCTGTTTCTTCATAAAATGCTAATATTTCACTATTTCATTTTGGGGCTTGACTTGGTATCTAGTTAGAATTCATTTTAGTTCTTGAATCTGCAAAAGGCATCTTTCTGAGCAATTGCCAGAATGTTTTACCCAGTTCCCCAGCCACCTATGTATTTTATTCAATATGGTGCAGCAGGAGTTGACCATTAAACCAAACATCAGCCTAGGCCCTGGCATTTTCCCCCATCTTCTCTTAGCTTCAGACACTGAGTAGTCAGAAGGGGGTGCTGGTTGGATATGGGGAAATGCTGTCATTATCATCACACCAAAGACCCTGGTGGATAGAGGGTCCAAGTAGATGATTAAATGTTGGTATTGAAATATCATACCATTCATTTCTCACCTCAAAATCGTCACCAAGTATATGTCCACTTTTTTTTTTTTTTTCTAAAAGCTGTTAGTAACATGAAGTTCCTATTCTTACTGGACCCACACACCAAAGGAGAGTAGATAGATAATAATAATAATAATTTTAAAATATCCTGTGTGCCAGATCAGGATAACTGATAGGTAGATAAGCTAAGACTGGGCTGTTGGTGCAGGGTTGTGTCACTGGTTGGTTTGATTTCCTATCTACCTGTCCTTACCAGTCTCTCCCAATCAGCACTCCCTGACAGTCATCAAAGGTCATTTTGTATTTCTCTTCAAATGAAAGTCACTAGCTGATTGACAACTGAGTGTGGCGCCAGAGGGAGAATAGACGGGAACCTCTTTTTCTAAGACTCAATCATACTTCTAATAGGACCCCTTCTTTAGAAATGACGACAAGAATATAAAATTCCTCTCACAGTTTCTCAACGGTTAACCCTGCGGAACCAGTGAGATCGCTCCGCGAGTAAAGATGTGTGAAGGCCAGAACTCACGTGGTGGAAGGGGGAGAACTGTCTTCATAATCACTGTGGCATGCACACACACACACACACACACACACACACACACACACACACACGGTGTGGGAGAATTGTCTATATTCTGTCAATCATGTTTTAATAAAACGCTGATTGGTCAGGCAGGCAGTATAGGTGGGAAAGCCAGACAGGAAGTAGGGGTGGAGCAAAGAGAACAGGAGTATTCTGGGAAGCAGAAAGTTCCCTCCACATTCTGTCCAGACCACCGGAGAGGAAAGATGTAAGCTGCCCTGCTGGAAAGGGTACTGAGCCATGTGCTAACATAGATAAGGATAATGGGGTAACATAAGTTATAAGAGCTAATAAGTAGCCTGACCTAATGGGCCAATCAGCTTTATAACTTATAGAGATCTCTGTGTGATTGATTTTCCTTGGGAGTTGCCGGTTGTGGGGTACCGAGCAGGACAGAAACCCCAACAAGCCGGCCCCTCATGCTACACACACACCATGAACAAATCAGTATAAAAAATATAATTTTTCTTCGCCTGTAGTTTTGCATGATGATTTATCTTTTGCCTTGCCCCCCACCCATTTAAGTGTTTCCCTTTCTTAGGTTTACTTTGCTTTCACTTTCATCCTCATCCACGTTTCCTCAGTGCAAAGTTTCTGTTTCTTTTCTCCTTTGGGAAAGACTGCTGACCTGTGTTTCTCTTCATCATGTACAGAACTGCCTATTCTTTTGAAAATCCCCAAAGATCTGTTTCAGGCCCGGTTAGTTTCAAGTTACTCCAGCATCTTGTCTAAATGGCAACACAGGGAGATGCTGGACTAGAGATTTCTTATTCTTTCCAAGTTGTCATTAGAATTTTTAACATTGTCTTTCTTGGACCACCAGCCCCCAAATCACAGAGACATTTTGTTACTAGTTATGGATGCTTGGCTGTGTCATATGCTTGTCCCATTAGCCCTTATAACTTAACTTAACCTGTTTCTCTTCATCTACATTTTGCCTCAGGGCTTTTTACCTTTCTTTCATTCTGTCTGCCCTACGTTCCTGCTTGCTCTGTGTCTAACTGGCTGGCCCCAGGCTTCTTCCTTTCTTCTCCCTCATTCTGTCTCAAGCCTAGATTCCTTATCCAACTTATTCTCTCTGTCCACCAGCCCCACATATCCCTCTAGGCCTAGCTATTGGCCATCTAGTTTTTCTTCTTTAATTAGACTAATTAGGTGCCTTAGGCAGGCAAGGTGAAACAGCAACACATCTTTACATAGTTAAACAAATGTAGCATAACCAAAAGCCGCACACCTTTACGTAGTTAAAGTAATATTCTGCAGCATAGACAAATCTTTACATAGTTAAGGCAATAGTCCACAACAAAAGATAGGAGAGTCAAGATGGCTCAACCAGAATGGCATTTGCCACCAAGCCTGACAACCTGAAGTTGACCCTGTACCCACATGATGGAAGGGTAGAGTCACTTCCTACAACTTTGTCCTCTGACATTTTCATCTTTCTAACACACACACACACACACAACACACTCACACACAATAAATAAATGTAAGAAAGAAGCAGATATGGTCATGGCTGCCACACAATATAATAGTCACATGTAATAGTAGTAGTTTGTTTTAAAGAAAATTACATTAAATCCAGTTTTATGAACAAATCTGCTAAGTGAATCCGTTTTGTATTTGTTTACTAAAAAAGGAACCTACTGTATTTTAAGTTAGTTAATCTTAGCCTAGCAGTATAAAATCATTATACGTGGACACTATGACTTCAGGGTGCCCAAGTGCACATCTTTGCATTGTGATTTGCCTATCAGTAATATGAGTAACACCAGTGCCATGTTCTGAGGTTGTTCTAAGGATGGATTGCAAACTGCTTACCACAAAGTTTGGAATGTTCATATACCCAGCAATGACTTGGCTCTCTAATAATACAGAGTCTATGAAGGCAATTGTTTAATCATGGCCATAGCCATTTAACTGAGATTTAGCTAGGATCCTTTTGTACAAGAGATTTTATAGACTGACTCAGAGGTATTCATTAAAGGGGTAATGTCATGTCTTTATGTTTCCAAAAGAATTAATTAGCCCTGCCTTAGTTAGGGTTTCTATTGCTATGATGAAACACCATGGCCAAAGCATCTTGGTGAGGGAAGTGTTTATTTCAACTCACACATCCTGAACAGTCTTTCCTGGAGGGCAGTCAGGCAGGAAGCTGGAGGTAGGAGCTTATGCAGAGACCATGGAAGAATGCTGCTTACTGACTTGCTCTCCATCACTTACTCAGTCTGCTTTCTTGTAGAACCTAGGACCATCAGTCCAGGGGTGGTACTTCCCATGATGAATCGGGCCCTCTCACATAATTACCCTACAGGCTTACCTGATTACAGCCTGATCTTCTGGAGGAATTTTCTTCATTGAGGTTCCCATTTCTCAAATGGCTCTAGTTTATGTCAAGTTGATATAAAAACCATCCACCACAAGTCACAAAACAGAAAAAGAAATTGACTAAGTTTATTAGAACTTGACGTTCATTACCTAATTATTTCACCAACTAAGTTAAACTTCTGGTTTGTAGTGTTCATATATAAAAAGTTTTCTTTGTATAAAACATTTTCGATCAACAGGTCACATAACAATGGTCATATACCAAAGATTTACTCTTCAAAAGCGCTCACTATAGTTTTTAGTACCTCTAGAGAGTCATTCTGTGTCATTTATCACTGAACCATCTCTCTAGAATATTAGGCATTTACTTTAAAATAAAATCAGAAGAATCTCGGCATTTGAGTTACAGCTACTATTTTAATAGAGTCATACAACAGGAACAAAAATGCAATTCTCAAGATTGGAATTTTTTGTGTTTTGCTATCAATTCTGTTCTTTGGCTAGAGGAAAAAACCTGAGGT